TTATCTGTTATTGTCCAATAAATATCTGATGTATTACAATTCAATTAATCAACTATTTTAAAGTTTCCATTATTAATATTTCTAATTAAATAAATTTACGATTTATGTCTTACTAATATCAAGTTCCTCTATTTATTATATATGATAGAAAAGAAATATTCATCATAATCCTAATCATTATTCATTAATTGAATTGACTTATGTTAGATTTCTTAATATATACCTTCAATTAATTCAAAATATATCATGTCTATTCCTTAATCACCTGTTGTCGAAATAAATGAATTTCCAGTAATAAAACTATCCTTTAACCGATAATTATAAATTGATTATTTATAGATGAATGGAATTCTCTTATATTGATTTATTTAATCAATTAAATATCAGGTGGTTGCAAAAAATAACGAAATTTTAGATTATAATTTAACCTAGTACAACAAAATATTTAAATTCATAAGTATTTTTTCTTTTCTTTCCCAAATAATAATCTAATTCTTCCCTTATGCACATGATACTAATAATTCTCTAATTAATTTAAACTTATCGAAATAACATAATAATTATGTTTATTTAATGTATAAAGAAATGTTAATTCATTTTAATTAAAATCAAGCTTCCATACTTTTATTGAATAATCACTACTTCCAGAAAAGAGTAGATCTCATTCTTATTCATTACAAGACACATTACCCAATCAGTATGTTTTTTATAGGGTTCTAAACTAATCCAATCATTAAAGTTCTAATTTTTCCAACATCTAAATTTTTGTCTCCAGAACATGAAATAAAGAAATTTTATTTCTTACTATATAATAAACACTAAATCCATTTACTATGTCCATAAAAAATCTATAAATACTTAATTTTTCCATTTTTGAAACTCCATAATTTTATATTTTGATATTCAGTTGATATCATATATTATCCAGAAGAATCAAAAGATATTGCATTGCATTTTATAGTGTATTTAACAGATTAATCAATTAAATTGAATTTGATTTCATCTTCTTGTGATTCCTTTTTATTTATAAATCTCATGAATTATTTCTTTAATTCTCTAAAGTTAATCTTATCTTCATTTTAATTATATTAATTTTAGTTATTATATAATTTTTTCATCCAAGATCTATTAATATTCTTCATAAGTGTTATATTTGCAATTTCACTATTATTTTATTTTTTCATATAATCATCTAATTCATCATCAAATTTGTATTTATAACATTCTTTTATTTACAATTCTAAATCTTTACTCCAATTTTCGGCTATTCTGATAAGGGAATCAAAAAGTCTATTAAATTATCCATAATTCTTAAGTAAATTTTACACACTTTTCTAATTATTTAATACTTTTGTAGTTTGATTTTCTAATTCTTTCATTTTATGTTTTTATAAATCATTTATTTATTTATATCATTTTCTCAAATCCAATTGTAGGGTAATTTGATTCAAAATTTTCCAAACATAGATTACAAATCAATCTTTTATTTTTTTGTAAATTTGGATCAAGAACATTGTTTTAACAATTAAACTCATTTACATTTTCTAAAACAATTTGCTTACTCATTTAAAAAAAAATTTTAATTATGAATAATTTTCTTAAAAAAAATATTCATTATTTTTTATATTATAGAATATAATACAATCATTGATGATAAAAATAGAAGATTTCTAAATATTCATCAATATTGGAGAATTTTTAATAATTAATCTTAGAGTGGGTCTTATGATAGCCTGAAAAGTAATTATTTATTCTCCAAAATATTAATTCTTAAATAATAAATTAAAAATATGTAATTAAACCATAGCTTAATATAATCATAAAGATGTATAAGACATTTTGATGAAAAAAGTTTTGATTATTCAGATTAGAAAGGATCTTCGATCAAAATGAAAAAGTATTACAAATCAAACTAGGGCATTTTTTTATAATGTTCTATTTAAAAATAATAATTATCAATATTTTTGGAATGGCTTACTTTTCTTTGCATTGATTGATTTTGAGTAAATTAGAATATCAGAATTATCATGTATAAAGAATTATATTAAAGATAATGGTTCTATATTGGCAATATCAGATTAAAGAGTTAATACTAAATTATTGATAAATCATCAAGTTTTATATCTAATAATTGAAGAATAGGATCAGGAATTTAAATTTAAAATTTAATAATTAAATTTTCAAATACAAAAATCATAAATAATCCTGCATCTTATAAAGTAGGTGGATTATATTTTTAAGAAGATTCCTAGAGATTTACTATTCAATCTACATTAAATATTTATAATTCAGCAGAGTATGCAGGTAGAATATATTCAAATGAAAATAGCAATTTAAATAAAAATAATTTAGTTTAATCTCTTCTCTTATTTAATAATGTTAAATTGGCTTCCAATAATATTAATGAATTACCTTAACATTTGTCTTTATCAATAAATTAAATAGAAATACAATTTCAATAAAGAATAATTGAAAATCATCATTTCAAGTCTTACAATTAAATCCATATAAAATAATATCTTAAGGTTAAGTTATATCAACTAATATTTTATTTATTCAAGTGGTTATTAAATATAGAATTTTGAACTTTATAATCCTATTCATTTGAAATTATCATCATATATTACTGAATTCAAAATAAATTTTAAGAATTGATTCTATGAACAATAATTAAACTTTTTGGACTCTACTTGTAATATAAATTAATAAACTATTGATATTGAAACTTAATATGTAATTGAATCCATAAGAGCATCAATAAGTTTTAATAAATCAATTAATAGTTTTGACGTAGATTCTTTAAAATTTAATATAGATCCATAAAAGCAGGAAGACCATATTAATAAAATATTAATATACTGTAAAACAGAAAATCTAGAGCAGAATTTAGCCTATAGAATGAGAATTAAAAGCTTTTTGTGTCAATTAGGGGAATTTTATTTTTTTCTGGATGTCAAAAATGTTAATCAGAATAAGGATCTTATTCTGTTACTTATAATAGTACAAAATGTTCTGTTTTTGATAAAAATAAATTTGAAGCCATAACATCTAATAAAATTTAATTAGAATCTGGATTTAGGAGGCCTAGTTAGATTACTGATAATGTAGAATTATGCTATAAAAATTGAAGTCTTTGTTTGGGAGGATGGAATTTTGGCGATGATTTATGTTATAAAGGACATATAGGAGGATTGTGTGAAGAATGTGATAGATTTAATGTAAGAGGAGAAGGATAATTCTTTAAAAACTATTAACAATTGGATTGTAAATAGTGTGAATAGCTTTTAAAGGGAATAATAGCTTTTTTCTAATATCAATATGGTAAATATGATTAATATTTTGTTAGGGCAATCCTTCTACTTTATTAACTAGTCAAAAATATTGAAAAAACTAATTAACTATATGTATATTTAAAGCCTAGATCAAATTAAAATTTTGCTGAATTTTTGTTTAAACTCAATTAAGGTATTATAAATTTTTAACATTAGATCATGAAAGCATTTTACTAAAATTATTTTTAAATTATTTTTGTGTTTTTTCTCTCATTTTTACATTCAATATTTATTTTTCAATCTCTTTAGATTTTGTAAAACCCTCAAATGATACTTCATTTTTATGGTTAATAATTTTGAATATTTTTTAGCTGAAATTTAAGTTATCTAATTAATTTATTGTAGAATTTTAATAATGTTCGGACTTATGCTTTTTAGATATTAATTATCTTTTTTGGATTTTAACTACTATAAATTTTAGAATAGAATTATATCTAAAATTATGTATCCTTGATTAATTAGAAAAATTATTATATTTTTTAGATTTATTTCAATTTTGGCAATTCGAAAAATATCAGATTAAAACTATATATCAGGTGATGAATCTCTAATTTATGAATCTAAAAATCATATCTCATGGATTTATGGATTTTTAATTCCTGGATATATTAACATAATAAAATAAAATTTAGAAGACATATAGGATTTTTATTTAATGAACGGGAAATTATCAAATTATGGAAAAAAATCATCATTATCGTTATTCTAATATATTTTGAAACTGATATTTTTTTGAAAGCATCATTAGCACTTTGTCTAATGATTTATTCAATTATTGCTCAAAAGTATAAACCATTTATTCTTATGAAATTTAATTTATTAGACATTTAAAGTGCCCAGTTGTGCTTGATTGCAATATTTTTAGCAACTGTAAAATAGATAATAGAATAAATTAATTA